GTCCCCGCGGCTCGGCTCCAGCTGCGCGCACGTGCGCGTTTCTCCGTTTCTCCGTAGGCTCGTCGTGGGGGCTCCCACCGCCGACTGGCTCGCCAACGCCTCCGTGGTGCATCCCGGGGCCATTTACAAATGCCAGATCGGACAGAACCCAAACCGGACTTGCCAACAGCTCCAGCTGGGTGAGTAGGATCTGGGACCAGGAGGGAGTGCACACACGCCCTCCCCCCAGCTCGGGGGCTCCACGGTCACACAAGTCCCGGAAGGACGCATGGTGCCTTCTGCTTCTAGGGTAAAGCAGACGGTTTTCACTCAACTCCACACCGTCTTCACTTCTTACCCCTAAAGGGGCCCCCTTCTTGCTGTCACCCTTCTCCTCCCTGTGCTAAGCCTTTAGCAATGAGTGCAGGTCTCTGACATAACTATGACTGAACTAGAGGGACATGTTTATAGTACCTTCCCCTTCCCCCATCCTTTTGTGAAACACATTGTAAAGTCTCAGCACATGAAGAACAGGATACAGCTAAGCCAAGACGGAAGAATTGTATTTCCATCATTGACCCACCAGCCTTGTTTAGAGAGCAAGGGGGCTAGGGGGCAGATCAGGAATCGCAGTTGGAATTGATCCCACATCCTGTCAAGTAGCTTGAGGGCTCTCTAAATCAGAAAACGCTGGAGCTTTACTTAGCATATAAAAATGTCAAAGAAGGACACAGGAAAATTCGGCATCTTCATTGTTAATACAATTAAATTAGCCGGAACATATAATTACTAGTTTTTATCTCCCAAAACGCTCATGTTAAATAGCTACTTCCATGTGAAGTCATTTCTTAATGTCTCTTCTTAGATTTGTGATGACTTAGAAAATGTGTTCTGAAGGGGGAGGGGAGAAAGTTCATGTTTCAAAGCACCAAAGCAGATTTGCTTTGCACAGACCCACAGGGTGGGGTGTGAAAGAGGAACTAATACTAATTCAGACCTATCTTGTTCTAAACACTGTTAGGCACTGCCATATATGTTGCTTAATGTTTTCCTCTCGGGCACCTCTGGGTCATCGTGGGCATTGTTCCTACTTAACACACAGAGGACTCTGTGACTCAGGGGGTTGCAAGTCCTTCTTCTAAAGGCTACTCAGCTAGTGAGTGGGAGATGGGACCCCACGTCTAAGTCAGGTCTGCTTGGGTCCAAAGTCCAAGCCCTGCTCTTTTCTGTACCCATCTTCAGTGCAAATGAAATGAAATGAAGAGTCCAATATGTTGCCTGCTGAGCTGACGAGTCATCTGTAAACGGTGAATAAAAGGTTATAATTGGTACCGTTTTCATATTGAGACTTTTGAGATAAGCTAGTTATTAAACCTTTAACCCCTTTTAATAGTAGTTTTTGCTTTTTCTCAAACTAGGAAGCTGGTTTTCTTCATTTGGAATGAATTCAAATAGAGTATGCATATAATGGGATTTTTGTTTTTAACTCAGAGAGCATCCATAAAGTCTAGGAGTTGTCAGTAGCACGTAGAATAAGCTCCAGTCACTCATGAAGCCTCTTCCATCCCCAAAAGCAGACTATTAAAGCATAACACATTCATAGACCTATATCTTTGGAATAATTCTGTAAAACATAATTTTCATTGCGTGAGGGAATTGTGGGATAAAGAATTAACAAGTGGAGCAGGCAACCTTGACCTGCCAGAGGATCTTGACAAGACTTCAGGAGGTAGAAATGTCATTTCTGTTATCCTGTCATAGTTTTCTGATCCATGACATTATAACTGCTGGTACCTGGCACTTAATTCCTATCTGGAAGGTCATGGAATCTATTTCTAGATGTCTGTATTTTAACTGGAAAGATGTCATTAGCATTATATAAAATTTCAGATAATAATGCCTGTCAAAATTGAAGGAAAACCTAAATTCTTTGGGCATTTGGAACATAGGGATCAACTACAGAAATATCCTTAGAGAAATGAGCACATGGTAAATGCAGAACAAAGACAAATTAAATGAAGATATAGTGATAGCTGAATGAATAAAAGCAAAGCAAAACTTTGTTGTCAACCTGATTGGTAAATAAGAGAAGTAATTAGAAATGATAAGCCAAAGGGATATTTTTAACTTTTAAATTTTGGGTCAGTTAAAGGCAAAAAGGAAGACAAGATTTCTATTCAATCACTGATTGTAACACTAGTGGCTGTAGTACTAGCTTTGCATATTAGCAAAAAAATTGACTAAAATTATTTTTCATGCAATGTTTTAAACAGTGCATCTTCTCTTCCTTTTATAAAGAAACTAGAGGCCCGGTGTACAACATTCGTGCACTGGGTGGAGGGGCAGGGGGGTCCCTCAGCCCCGCCTGCGCCCTCTCACAGTCTGGGAGCCCTTGGGGGATGTCCGACTAACAGCTTAGGGGAGCGGGCCTAAGCCTCAGTCTGACATCCTTAGTGCTGCTGTGGAGGCAGGAGAGGCTCCCTGCCACCACTGTTGCACTTGCCAGCCGTGAGCCTGGCTTCTGGCTGAGCAGCGCTCCCCCTGTGGGAGCGCACTGACCACCAGGGGGCAGCTCTTGCATGAGCATCTGCCCCCTGGTGATCAATGCGCGTCATAGCGACCAGTTGTTCCGCCATTTGGTCTACTTGCATATTAGCCTTTTATTATATAGGACTATGTATCTCCCCTTTATCCTCTTCTTGGGTAAAGGGGGGATAAATGGTGATGGAAGGAGGCTTGGTGATGGATGGGGTGTTGAACACACAATACAATGTACAGATGATGTATTATGGAATCGTACAGCTGAAACCTATATAATTTTATTAACCAACTAGAGGCCCAGTGCACAAAAATTTGTGCTCTGGGGGGGGGATTCACTCATCCTGGCCTGCGCCCATTTGCAGTCCAGGACCCCTTGGGGAATGTCCACCTGTCGATTTAGGCCCACTCCCCAGGGGATCAGGCCTAAGCTTGCAGTCAGACATCCTTCTGGCAGCCAGGGAGCCCTCGGGGGATGTTCGACTAAAGGCTTAGGCCCCCAAGGGATAGGGTCTAAACTGTTAGTTGGACATTCTTAGTGCTGCCACAGAGGTGGGAGAGGCTCCTGCCACCACCACTGCGCTGGCCAGCCATGAGCCAGCTTCTGGCTGAGTGGCACTCCCCATATGGAAGTGCATTGACCACCAGGGGTCAGCTCCTGCATTGAGCATCTGCCCCTTGGTGGCCAGTGCGCATCATAGTAAACGGTCATTCTGCCGCTCAGTCAATGTGCATATTAGCCTTTTATTATTATTATATAGGATGTCCCTATTTCCCCTTTTGCCCCCTCTACCCAGCTCTTGCCCCCCACTTCTCTCTGGCCATCACCATACTGTTGTCTGTGTCCATGGGTTGTGCATATATTTTCTTTGGCTAATCCCTTCTTTAAATTCACTTCTTTAAATTTTTATTTTCAGATAAGTGCTTATAACTGCACTATTATATATTTTCTATTATATCATTTAGAATTAAGATATTTTTTAATTGAACCCTTGTAAATTTTAGCACAATTTAATAAATTATGCTAGAAGCAATTAGGAGATTTTTCATGTAATGCAGATACATTTCAATTAATATTTTATTAATTTTTAATTTTTTAATATTTTAATTTGAAATAATCTCATACATGTAAAAAAACCTATAAAATACTACAGCATATTATATGTACCCTTCACCCAATTTCTTAGGTGTTAATAATTTAAACATAACCATTATACAACTAACAAAATTTGGAATATATTTTTCTTATAATCTCTTTAATGTTACTTAATCCATTTACTTTGTTTTTGTTAATCTTCACCCAAGGATATTTTTCCATTAAATTTTAGAGAGAGTGAAGGGAAAGGGAGAGACACATTGATTGGTTGCCTCCTGCACATGCTCTGATAGGGACTGGGGATCAAGCCAGCAACTGAGGTACAATCTGTCTTTTAATTGGTGCATTTATGCCACTGACTTTCAGAGTGCTTACTGATAGAGTTACTGCCATAATAGGTGGCTGCTGGGGCTTCTGCTGGCGGCTCGTGATGTCCTGCCCTGCCTGCGGTATGCAGATTAGCCATCATCTTTGTTGGTGGTTAATTTGCATATCGTGCTGATTAGCCAATGGGAGGCATAGTGAAGGTACGGTCAATTACCATGTTTGTCTATTATTAGATAGGATGTCACACCAATAAATTCAATAATTTTTTAAAAGTTAAATGTATAAATTAAAAGGTAACAGTTGAAATGAAACACAATGAAAAATATTTTCTTGTTGGCTGAACCAAAAAATCTTATAATAACTAAAGATTGAGCTATGATTGCCATGTCAATAAGGTATTTTCTTTCATTTAAAATAGCTTAACTTGAAAAGCCATAGATGAAGTTGAAATATCTCTTACATTGGTGCCTATCTCCTGCAAATTCAAAATACTATCCACATTGACTAGTCTTTAGGTCTCAGAATTTCAAATCAAAGTTTGATTCAAATAGACAATTCCCCATAAAAGAGGAGTTCAATATCCACCCCCCCCATGCCTCCCCTATCTTTGTGAATAATGTTGTTGCATATGTGGTATATTTACTGTAGCTATAATCTAAAGTGAGCAGCAAATGCCCATTTATCTAGAATGTTCAGGGTGTGAGACGTTGAGAGTAAGATACCCTTTTAGGGAAGTGAATTGACTGTAGAGAGGCACTTTCATCCTGCATGCAGACAGACTCACTCACCTCCCTGCCTACCTTGAGAAGCGCCTCTCCTCTCACTCCACTGGTAGTTCCCTGGATGAACCAAAAGGAAGTTAGTATTCCATCTGGAGGGTCTGAGCCCAGACTTGTTTGTGGAGACGTCATATCTGAGGAGGCTCTAGTGATTGCCGCTCATCCAGTTGCTTCTCATTTTTTGTTGTTGTTGTTTTGTTTATGTGTTTGATTTTTTAGAGAGAGAGGAAGGGAGAGGAATAGAGAGAAACATGGATGAGAGAGAAACATCTATCAGCTGCCTCCTGCACATCCCCTACTGGGGACTCAAGCCCGCAACCCAGGCATGTTCCCTGACTGGGAATCGAACCCATAAACTCTTGGGTCATGGGTTGATGTTCAACCATTGAGCCACACTGGCCAGGCTGCTTTTCCACTCATAGTCTGCATCCTTACTAAGGCTTTTAAAAAAGAAACTTTG